TATATATATAGCAAACGCCTTACTGACGCCAAACCGATCGGTATCTTGTACAAGACACCTGGGCTTCGTGAGGCAGGGGGAGCCGTGCTCTAGACACGGTAGTCTGTGAGGGACAGGGATTCATCAGAACGCGTGACTTACAGAGCGGAGACAGCAGCTCGGAGCGCCGCTGGGTGTACTCCATCTCCAGGTTGTTGTATCGCTCCGGGTCGCTGGGCCGATTTAAAGACTTGAGCTGGGTCACGTATCCATCCAGGTAGGAATCCAGCAGCGCCACCAGCTGCTCGTTGAGGGTGTTGCGCAGCTCGGTGTCGGCCTGGGGGTAGACCGTCTTCAGGATGACCTCGTGCTGGCGAACGATGACGGCTCGCACCCCACCGGGGGCGCTGGAAGCTACGGGAGAGCGATCGACACCGTCAGGGCCGCCACCCACCCAGAGCAAACCCTTCCCAGCTGGCAGTAGGAATGCTGCAATCTCCTGGCTTCTGCTACATTCTCCACGTCGTTATTTTATAAACATGCATGCATCTGTAACTGATCCAGGTTTAGGGCTGGTTTTGTACCGAAATAACATGGCTCCTAATGAACAGTCTGAAACAGAATTTAAAACCGACTCTGTCAAAATCAAATCTGTGCACAAACAGATCTCCAATCTAACAGTTCAAAAGGCTGATGGAACCTGGTTACCCGACCACATGAGGTGCATTTGTGACTCTTCTGAATAATCAACATTGATGCTTTCCAGTTTTAGAAGGAAGAGCTGGTGACTGGGAGTGCAGTAGGTCTTATGGGCACCCATGTGCTCGTTCCTGCAGGTAGCACATGCTGAGCAGCCTAAACACTGGTGCCAGGCGCTGCCATGCCTAGGGGCCTACTGTGGCCCTCAAGGCAGAATCTGGCCAGCTAGAGGGGTACCAACCACAACTTGGTGGTCTACATTTCAGAACCTTTAGCGGGGAACTGTGTAACCCACAGCTGGACATGCTTTGGGTAACAGAAAGCCAGAATGAAACCTGTACACCTGTAATACAGAATTGGGAGCTTAGGACCGTACCTGTCCAGGGGATGTACTCTGGCTCAATTGTCTCGTAACCAGGAGGCTTGTACAGAGAAACTTTGGTTTCTCTGTACTGGCCAGCAGCCAGCAGCATGTCCTATAGGAACAAGAAATTAAAAGTAGGGTTATCACTGACTGAACAGGAACAAAACCCCTCCTCTAAATCTAACAGTTATTGCTATGCCATTTCATGAGAGAATCACAAAGCACAAACG